GTGGCATCACAGCTCACAGCAACCGCCAACTCCCAGGCTTAAGCGATTCTCTTACCTCAGCCTCCCAAGTAGCTGGGACTACAGGCACCCGCCACAGCACCCAGCTATTTTTTGGTTGTAGTTGTCATTGTTGTTTGGCAGGCCCCGGCTGGATTCGAACCCACCAGCTCTGGTGTATGTGGCTGGCACCTTAGCCGCTTGAGCTACAGGGGCTGAGCCCTGAAATCTTATTTTTAAGGAGTCTGGATTTTATCCTGAAAACAATTAGCAAATCAAGGATATGCAAATTAGGTAATTTGATCAAACCTGATGAGAAAGCTAATTTGACAATGTGGAAAGGGGATGGGGTGAGTACTCTGCTGGTGGTAAAGGCAGAAGAATAGAGAAGACTGGAAGTCATTATGGGGGACATGCAAGTAATTTCTAACTCAGCCTCCACCACATAAACTGGTACAGGAAAATCAAAATAACCCTAAAAGTTGTTTAAAATTTACATGGATCCTTTTACGTGAAGCATTTCACAAACACCTGGAATAGAGGTAAACTAGTTGAAGGAATGGTGGAAACTCCAAACTGGAAAGCTTATGCCTTATCCAAGAAGGAAAGTCTTAGTGTAACTGAACGTTGCCAGCTATTCTGATTTTTCAAAAAAGCTGGAACAGTTATTAAATACAATTTCCAAATTTTTAAATGTTGGCAACAAATTTTTAAAAATGTAAACCTTGCACAGCCCAAACAAAGCTTGTCTGATGGTGGGCTTCTGGTTGCTATTTTGTAAGCCCAAGCCTAAACTCAGGCACTGGTTGTGGAGAATACACAAGTATAGATTAGAGCAATCTTAAGGCAATACAATCAACACTACTCTGTGGCTCGGCGCCAGCCACGTACACCCAAGGTGGGGGGTTCGAATCCGGTCCGGGCTCGCCAAACAACAATGACGGCTGCAACCAAAAAATAGCTAGGCGTTGTGGCGGGCGCCTGTGGTCCCAGCTACTTGGGAGGCTGAGGCAGGAGACTCGCTTGAGCCCAGGAGTGGGAGGTTGCTGTGAACTGAGATGCCACGGCACTCTACCCAGGGGGACAGCTTGAGGCTTCTGTCTCAAAAACAAAAAACAAAAAAACACTACTCTGTGAAGGAGTGGATATGGCCAATGGAGATAGGAAGGGACCAAAGGTAACTTCATGAAAAACTAATGACTATCAACAATTGGGAAGACACAGGTGCTTTCACTAATAATCCCAGCAACTCTGGGAGGAGAAGGCAAGAGGATTGCTTGAGGTCCTGAATGTACTTTAAAATTTACTTTTTCAGTACACCTCTCAATATACAACCCAAACTACAATTTACCCACTAGGGTCTCAGCCTTCACAGAGAAGGGCCATTCTCCAGACAACAGTTTCAGTTCAGCTGATATTATTTTTGCATTATAGTTTTGCTTGAAAATACAGTAGATGGGTGGCGCCTGTGGCTCAGTGAGTAGTGCCGGCCCCATACAGCAAGGGTGCCAGGTTCAAACCCAGCCCTGGCCAAACTGCAACAAAAAATAGCCAGATGTTGTGGTGGGCGCCTGTAGTCCCAGCTACTTAGGAGGCTGAGGCAAGAGAATTGCCTAAGCCCAGGAGATGGACGTTGCTGTGAGCTGTGTGACATCACGGCACTACCGAGGGCGATAAAGTGAGACTCTGTCTCAAAAAAAAAAAAAAAAAAGGAAAAGAAAATACAGTAGAACCTCTGTAAGTTGACCCAAAAGACTATAACAAACTGGTCAATGTACAGAGGTGGTATAAGGAAGGAGGTCTACTGTACTGATACCTACATGTGGTACATGTCTGGTCTATGAAAATTAGGTCAGCTTAAGGAGATGGTCAACTATGGAGGTTCTACTGTATTTTTATATCTGTATAGAGAGAGATAATTTTTTTTTGAGACAGAGTCTTGCTCTGTTGCCCTGGATAGAATACAGTGGTGTGCAACTTCACATTCCTGGGTTCAAGTGATCCTCCTGCCTCAGCTTCCATCACACCCAGCCAATTTTTTTCTAGTTTTCATGGAGATGGGATTTTGCTCTTGCTCTAGCTGGCCATGAACTCCTGCCTAGGCCTCCCAGAGAACTAGGAGTACAGGCATAAGTCATGGGCCCCCACCATTAATTTACATTTTAACCCACCATTAATTTATATTTTAAAAGTCAAACACTGAAAAACTTTATTTGATCTTGATCCATCTACTTGTTTGCTATTTTTATACACATAATAGGTCCTAGAGTACCGCTGGCAGATAGCCAGTTTCACTCAAGGATCAGTCATTCAAATAACTGGATTTTTTTTTTTTTTTGAGACAGAGTCTCAACCTGTCACCCCTGGGTAGAGTGCTGTGGCATCACAGCTTACAGCAACCTCCAACTTCTACACTTAAGTGATTCTCTTGCCTCAACTTCCCAAGCAGCTGGGACTACAGGCGCCTGCTACAATGCCGGGCTATTTTTTGGTTGTAGTTGTCATTGTTGTTTGGCAGGGCTTGGCTGGATTTGAACCCACCAGCTCTGGTGTATGTGGCTGGCAATTTAGCCACTTGAGCTACAGGCACTGAGCCATAACTGGATTTTTAAAACCTCATTACATTTATCTATTTGCCAAAATTTGGTTTTAAATTCGATGTTCTTGAATATATTCAACAAATATCAATATAATCATGAATATGTTCTGTTTCATTATAGTTGCTAAAATTATTCTTAGCAACATTTTTTACAGTCTTCAATTTTTTTTTTCTTTCTTTCTTTCTTTCTTTCTTTTTTTTTTTTTATAGAGATGGAGGTCTTGCCCTTGGCTCAGGCTGGTTTGGAACTCCTGAGCTTAAGAGATCCTCCTGCCTCTGCCTCCTGGAGTGTGAGTCAAATTTTAATAGCTAAGGGATAGCTCATCTCCCACTGGCCAAGCCAGAAACAAGTTACAAGTTAAGTATCAAAATGAACAACTCAGGAGGTTTATACATACCTACATTTTCTTCAAAGGTAAGTACAACCCTTATATTCTTTACCCCTTTGCTTCTCAGGGTAAAATTTTTGAACACCAATGAGTCCATGAATTTTTGTGGATAGATAGATATGCAAATAAGAAATAAATAGAAAAAGGAAGAAAGGGGGATGGGAACTCTTTTTCACAGATTAATGTCAACTAATGAGTGTAGAGGGATGTAGAATTAGAAAAATGGGTATTTTTGGCTCGGTCCCCATAGCACAGTGGTTAGAGCCTTGGCCACATACACTAGGCCCTCCTCAACAACGACAACAACAACAAAAAATAGCTGGGTGTTGTAGAGGGCATCTGTAGTCCCAGCTACTTGGAGGCAGAGGCCAGAGAATCTCTTAAGCCCAAGAGTTTGAGGTTGCTTTGAGCTGTGATGCCACAGCACTCTACCAAGGGTTACATAGTGAGACTCTGTCTCAAAAAAAGAAAGGAAGGAATCAAAAAAAAAAAGAAAAATGACTATTTTGCAACCACCATAGTAATAATTGATTCAGGCAAAAATCATCAATGGATGCTAAAGCCATTAGTGAAATTTGTTCTGAAACAGTATTTATACAGTCTCAAAATACTGGATTACTTATGGATTACTTATTCAAGATAAATGGGGTGGGGGGGAGTTACCTTAATAATAGAGAAATCTGGTAGGCATCACTTTAGCCAAGTAATCAAAGTAAGATCACCAATTATAAAACAAAATGGCATCCTGTCCCTCCCGATTTTAGGCACTGAAAAGGACAAAACATTACCTAGACACTATTGCTGACAAAAATGAATAACCTGAAGGGAATTATAGGTTAACTAGAAAGCCATGCGACAACCACCTTTAGCTTCAAAATATAAATATCACAAAGGATAAAGAAAGGCTGATAACCTTTTTTAGATAAAAAGAGACAAGAATAAGGACAAAGAAATGCAACATGTGAACCTGGACTGGATCCTAGATTGGGGAAAAAAATGCTATAAAAATTTTTTTTAGCATAAAAAATTGGCAAAATTT